TATCTCGAGATGGGCTGATCCAAAATCAATGAATGTTAGCTCATTGGATTCGTCTAGTCGAGGGGAATCGAATGGTATCCTTGGCTTTCTATAATATATTTCTGCTTTGACTACATTTATTAATGCCTTTTCGATTTTCTGGAAAGTTAGCTTTGCTTCAGATAATTGAATTTGTGTACTCATTTGTATGAAAACTTTTATAATAATACCTTTACAAAATTTTCTCTTTAATTAATTATTTCCCTATATATCAAAATGATCAGAGAATATTCCTGTTTATATTTGCACAATACTGGCAAGACTTGTGGTAGGCCCTGCATGCGTGAAGAAGGGTGTCATGAGCATTGAAAAACTAAGGTACGTGTACCATGTAATATATGTGGCAAGCCTACTGGCTCATCTTCTAGGCGATGTTCATCACATGTTAAAGGTTATTATGTGATTCAATACTATAACAGATTATGTGATAAAGTCTTAAAAAACTTAGAATAGATATTAACTTTTGGTTAATTTTTTTGGATAGACTTTACTATGTGATTTTTGGTTAAATTTTTTTTGATAGACTTGGTTATGCAAATTTTTTTGGTTAGACTTTTTGACTTTAGTATTCATTTTAGGCTTGCATGATCAAGCCCAGCTCAAATCGCGTCACTTTGTTTCTTGATTTTCGATGGCCTCTCTAGAGGCAAGCAGAATAGCATAAAAGTTATTATTCATATTGGGTTTGCAATGTCAGGCCTAGCTCAAATCGCGTCACTTTGTTCTTTGATTTTCAATGGTCCCTCTTAAGGCAAACAGAATAGTAAAAATTTTTTGATATATTATTTGGGATTAAAATCAGGCTAGAATGGCTATATCAAACAGTATAATTCTTGATATTTGAAGGTTAATTTCAAGCCAAGTTCAATATCATCATATATAATTGAGTCAAAATGCGTTAGATGATTGAATTTGATATTTTGATTCATATAGCTAAAATTGATTCAGAGGCGAACAGAATTCTTTCTGAGTATTATTTGGATTTTTGTTCCAAAACCCCCTTTTTAACCTATATATAAAAGATAGGTTAATTAAATTGTTTTTTTATTTATCAATTTTGATAATTTAGATTATCTATTCAATTCAAAAAATAATTATATAATAATATCATTTTATAATACTTATATCTGATATTGAAAAATTATTGTTTAATAAATAAACATTTGTAATTTTAATAATTTATTATTAAAGTATTTTATGCTACTATTTTAAACAATAATAAAAAAATTTAATCATAAAATACAATTGTAATTTCTTTTAATTTAGGTAAAAAATATTTGATTAATAAGTTGAAATATGATTTTTTATCATTTATTAAATAAGGTTTAATACAGATAACAGAACTATTTTTTAATCTCCTTGTCGAATTTCTTAGATTAAATTGATTATTGATTTTAGCAGTATTTTGTAGTCAATTAAAGAAAGAATGAAAATCTTATCATATAAACTAAAAGGAAGTGATTCAAATGATGTAATATAAAAAGTTAAAAAATTTGTTCCTTTAACAGTAATTTGATAGTTTCTTCTAATATAGGGAAATGATATTAATTATATTATTGGCAATTTGTAAAGAAACAATCATCATCGTCAAATTTTGACTACAAAAATAATAAAAAAATTTCCTTAATTTTATTAACATCAAACTTAACAATACATATATTTACAAAGATTGCGATCCTTAAAACATGAATATTTATAAGAAAAAAATTTTTGTTACGATATCATAAACGATTTGATCAAAACAAATTATATATTTCTTTATTGCAACACCAGCGACTGACTAAAAAGTTATGTCTAACTGAATCTGCTACTTTTAAACCCATACCACGTGCTCAATTCTGATAATGCAAATTAATCAATCTTTTACTATGAAAATTCTGGGTAAACGACTTCAACGATGTAATTTGCAAATCTTAGATATCTTAGATATGTGTTTTTTATTGTACAATTAATTTTATTAACTCCTATAAATTCGCATCTTTCGAAGTTATAAAGTTTTGATATAATGCATCTTATTAAAACATACGTCAAATAACATTCAGCCAACCCAAACTTTAGTATTAAATTGTTACTTTTTTATTAAGTACTTTTAGATTTGAAATACTTCCATTAAATTATCTATTCAAATTTCAAATTTAATCGTTATGAAAACTGACTTCATCATCCGATTTCTTCATGAATTGTAAATTAGATAGCCCTACAGAGAATTTCTCCTCCATGATTTTGCTCAATAGCTTCGTTAATTTCCAAGACACCGCAAGATGTGTTAATGATAGCAACTTCACCAAGTTTTAGTGGTGTGATAAATTTGGCCCTTCTTCCAGCTATCAAATTCTTAAGTTCTTCAACATTCATAAATATTCTCCTCGAACCTTTGCTTACGCATGACATCGCTTTTAAAACTGGTTCATTATTTCGATATTTAAGGTCAAGCCATAACCTTCGACTTGCAATATTATGTGGTTGAGTTTGGACAAATTCCTTGTCCGGCTCAAAGTGGTTACCCCGTTGCACGGAAGAAATAAACCCTTGTCGATAAAGAATCATGGAAATCGCAAGGTTCATTTTCGTATCTGGAATAGCAATACTTTGTAAACGAGCTCTAAAACCATTTTGAACGCGTGCGCAAATATCGTGAACTGGAGGCATCAACCAAATTCTGTCGCAATATGATTATTAAGAAATTTTTTTATGAGGGTTGTATTGAGTGAGTTTCCCAGCTTTCTCGAAATAGAAAATTTTTTTAATAGATCTTAGAATAACAGGTTTGTCGATCTTCTACATCATATTAAAGTCACGTTTGCATTCTTCAACATTAAGCCAATCAACTTCAAGAATTCTAATTATGAAACTTTATTTCATTTACTTGAAATCAAAAGCGAACTCTTCATATCAAAAGTTAAGCAATACGTGTTTAATCGCGTCTTTATCCAACGGTTTTATAATTAAAATAATAAAGCAAAACTTAAAGTTTTAAAAAGCAGTTAAAGCTACTAAATTTGAGAAAATGTCTACAGGAAGAAGTTCAACGCGCCCATCACGACTTCAGTTCAAGCTAAACTTTGTTTCTGCATCGTCACAAAAAATAATTTCCACTCCAGAGCTAATAAAGAGGCTAACGGTATTTTGAGTTTGACTTTATGTATGTTTTTTTCGAAAGAATTCCTTTTATAATAAATTTTTAATGTAGAACTTATTTGGAGAAGTTTCCGTAATGGATCAAGAGCAAGTTGATCTCGAGTCTTTAAAAGGTGCAACTCGCGAATTGATTAACACAAATTTAATAAGTCACAAAGATCAGGGAGTTAAGGCTTATGTAGCTTGTTGTATATCGGATTTGCTGAGACTATATGCACCAGATGCACCATATAATGCCCGTGAACTCAAAGTAAGAATATCTTGAGAGTTATCTGGACCATTTGATATATCAATCAACTTTTATTTATTTTTATTTTTTATTAGGAAATTTTTGTTTTTTTTGTACATCAATTACAGAATATTGATGATAAAGATGGTCCTTATTTTGATCTATATTTCCATCTGCTTGAGAATTTAGCAAGAGTTAAAATAGTATTATTGATATTGGATCTTCCAAACTGTGAAGAACTCTTGATTGAATTATTCAGAGATTTCTTTGATATAATTAGGTCAGTTTGATATTTCCGCGTTTTATGCACGTTTGTGTAATTAATCAATTAATTCGTATTTAATACAGGTCAGATATGTCAAATATTGTTCATTCACATATGGTGGACATTCTTGAACAACTAATTAATGACAGTGATGGGCTACCTCAAGATATGATCGATATTATACTTGCACAATTTTTAAAGCAGCGAAAAGTATTTCGATTATATTTTTTAGATAACTTTTCTACTTACCAATTCCCTAATCGTCTAAATTTTTTTTGGGTTTATTTAGGATGAAAATCCGGCGGCTTATCAATTGGCCAGCGAAGTCTGCAATCGAGCAACGGATAAGTTACAACGATACGTTTGTCAGGTAAGTTAATTTTTATAAAATTTTCCATATGAAATTCATCCAGCTTCAAGTATCAACAAATCGGCGTACTCAGTATTTTACAGATGTTATCGTTGAAGCTGATAGAAATGGGACATCTACAGAAGAGCTGAATAACTTTAAAACAGCTCATGATCTTATCAAAGAGTTGAATAGAGCTGCACCAGGATTGTTGTTAAATGTCATACCTCAATTGGAGGAGGAATTGAAAGTGTGTATTTAAGTTATACGATTTATTACTTCCGATATATATTTATAGTAATTTATAATATATATATACTTTTTTTAGTTGGATGATACTCCTTTACGTTTGCTTGCCACACAAGTTCTTGGAGAAATGTTCTCCGAGAAAGATTCCACTTTAGCTAGTCGTTACGACAACGTTTGGAAAATGTGGCTACTTAGGTAAGATTCGTAATTTTGATTTTAAAAATTATTTTTACATATTATTAATTTAAATATTTATTGCGTTTTAATTTTTCAAAAAAAAAAAAAGACGAAATGATAAAACAACTGACATTCGATGTGCTTGGGTAGAATATTGTTTACCTCTTTACATTAATCACCATGAGTTGGCTATACAGATAAATGGTATGAAATGTAAGATTTTCAAGTGCAACTTAATTTTATTAACATGTATTTTTTTGAAATTACGTTTAGAGGCAATAATCTCCAAAATGTTGGATGTAGATGATAAAGTTAGAATTGCTGTATGCAAAGTTTTTGGACAATTAGAATATGAGTGTGCTTCTAAACTTGTGGGAAAAGAATTATTTGTTGAGATAGCTCAACGTTGTCGTGATCGTAAAGTAATTAAACTTTATTTTTCCAAAAAATTGTCTTTATATAAAGATTTACTTTAATTACACTTAAATCAAAATTACTTAGCACGGAGTTAGACAAGAGGCAATCAAAGCTTTGGCACGTTTATATAATATGGCTTATATCGAAATGTATGAAACATCTGTTTCATTATAAATGTTTTTTTATATTCGTTTAGTTGAAATTTCTAATTTTCATTTTAATAGCGTTGATCATGACGCAAATGCGATTGAAAAATTTGGATGGATACCCTCAGATTTACTGAATACACTCTATTTAAATGATAATGAAGTCATGTAGATATCTAACTATATATATTATATTTCTTATTCATTATTCCTTCTTGAATTTATTAACTACACTTTTCATTAAATTTCATTAGTGTTTGTGTTGAAAAGGCAATGCATGAAGAAATATTAGCATTCAACAATGGAGATTCGGCGCGTATGGACCGAATTATTGTTGTTTTCGGGTCACTTGACTCAAAAGCTAAGAAGGGCTTTTTCTCTTTGTTCCTCCAAAGGCAAAAAGAGTAAGCACCTTAACATATATTCATATTAATTTATTTTATGTTAATTGTAATTTTTATTTATAATATTTAGTGCGATTAACGACATGAAATCATTTTTGACCATTTGCGAAAAATACAATGTATATTTTATTTATCAGTTATTATTCCTTTTTTTTTCGATTTTATTATTATTAAGAATAAACTTCAAATTTTATTAAGGGTGATCCTAATAACGAAAAATTGGCGAATATTTTGAATCAAACCATTGAACGTATTTCGGGTCAGTTCAAACACAATTTTTTTTTTGAAGCATGTCTAAAACTTTTTAATTTCATATAGGAAATTTGTCAATATTTTATTTATAATATTAGAAAAACTTCCGGACCCAATGAAATCAAAAAATAATTTGTCAACATTTGCGAAACTCCAGGATACGCGCGTTTATAAATTAATCCGAGATTGTATGAATCCACAGTCAGATTATAAAACTGTACGAAGTTCTGCCGTAAATATACTTTTTAAAAAAATTTTTTTCTTTATTAATTCTAAATTTATTCTAAATGTAAGTGAAATTCACATAACTTATATTATTCTAGAAGGATGCACTTAACAGGATTGAACAGATAGCCGCATCATCATTTGAAACATTTTCGATTTTAATACGACGAATTAGCTTAACAATAATTAATAGAGATTTGGTTCCTTTGCTTATGAACAAAATTAAATCTGTTGATGGTGAACAACAAAATGCTCATTCAATTATCGCCTATGAGTTATTTACGGTGATTTGAAATTCATCAAAAATTTTGTATTAGTTTATTTAACTGATAAACTTAAAATGCAAATTTCATCATTTTTAAAATCAATAGGAAATCTCTTCCCGATTTCCGGTTATATTTCGATCGCATCTTGAAAGACTAACTACTCTTCTTAAGGAAGAGGACGAAAGCGCAACGATTGGTATAATATTATTTCAGTTTATTCATATTTAACCATTAACGTATGTGCTGAATATATTGTATTCTCTTATTCATAGTCGAGAACAGCTTAGAGGCACTTTCTAAATTCGCAAAGGCTTTTCCCGATGAAGTACCTCATGATAGGTTAGTAATTCTAATTTCTCTTTTTTTTTTTTTTTTTTTTTTAAAAGAAATTTTGATAGAAGGCCTTTCTTATACTTTTTAATTGACAAACATGTATATTTAATTCGCAGTGAAAATATACTGCGCTATATACAATTTGCATTAAACGGATCTTCACGTCAAGCAAAGTTTGCGTCTATAATCCTCATCCATGTTCAACAGAAGGAACTAATATGTAGCGATATATTTAATGTAAACTACGAATTTCTTATTGGATCAACATTGTTTATTATTTATCGATTGCCTTTTATTAATGACTATTTGATTATCGAAATTTTCAAGAAAATTATTCCCAATCTTTTGATAAATTCACCAAATATTATATCATACCTTTCCACGCTCAGCCAATGTGCACTTTATACGCCCACGATTTATGAACAAGAAAGTAATACTATTGCGAATTTCATAATCAAAGAATTAATTATGAAAAATCATAATGTTTGTTTTAAAGATCTAACGATTTATTGAATTTTTTTATATGTATCATGTTAATTTTAATTCATTGTGTATCTTGCATATTATTGATTTTAAATAGGCAAATGTTGTAGACAAAACCGTATGGGTTGATGATAATGAGCTTGATGATGAGTGTAAAGCAAAGGTATTTCTTTATTTCTTTATTTCTTTTTTATAATTACAAATCTATTATTTATTTAACTAGGTATCGTAGTATTATTACAGTAAATATTTATGAATTTTTAAATGAATATTAATGAAGGTCAATTATTACACTGAAACGAATTCATGTTCTTTTTATATTGTATTTTTTGATAATGCTCATGATAAGACCTATCTATATATTTGTTTTTTATATTGTACAACTTTATGTCTGTATGTAATATAACTAATAAATATTTAATTTGCAATATTGTAAATAGGTTTTGGGCATAAAAGTTCTTGTTAATCGTTTACTTACTATAACGGATGCAGAGAATGCACTCGATTTATCAAAGCCAGTTTTTAAATTGCTTTGGAAATTAATAAGAGAAGGTGGTGAACTTCTTCCTGATAAATCTACAAGGTAATCAATTTGCGTATATATGTATATATTATGTTATTTATTATAGTAATTAATTTGCTCGACTCTTATTTAATAAGGCCATCACACAAGAGTCGTTTGCGATTAGCCGCTGTTCGTTCCGTATTGAAACTAGCAAGGAAAACGATTTACGATTCAATGATTCCTTTTGCGGAATTTCAAGGGCTGGCACAAATGATACAAGTATATATAATAATCTTGCATTTAAAAAATAGATATGTATATAACTGAAGTAACTGAAGTGGTTTTTTACATATAATTTTTTAGGATAAATGTTATAATATTCGTTTTGCGTTCGCTTCACAACTGATAAAATATTGTGGTAAACATCAACTTACCACGCGATTTTTGTCTATATTCTTTTTAATCGCACATGATCCAGATGTAACAATTCGTGAAATGGTAACTTGATTAAGATATTTTTGTCATTTGAATTTATAATAAAATTGTTAATATTTCTTTTTCGAATTAGGTCGGAGCTTTTCTAACGAGATATTCTCTTGCATCAAGAGCGATTCGTAAGTATTCTCATATTTATATATATATTTCTCTATTTATATTTATTTATTTTTAAAAAAAATATTTTTTAGGTGACAAATCTATGCATTTGGAAATGTCACTAGTTCAGCTTATTCACCTTCTTTCCCATCATCCTGATTTTTCCCGTGAAACAGATACTCTTAACGAATTTGTTGTGTGAGTTATTTATTTGGTTGAATGTCAAATTTATAACGGTAAAATATGAATATATACTTATTTCTTATGTAGATATATCGACTTTTACTTGGATACAATTGCGAACGCAGAAAATATCTCTCTATTATCATACTTAGTTTGCCGATTAAAACATGTTCGAGATGTGCATTCCCCGGATCAATGCGAGGTTATATATATACACATTCTAGTATATTAGATATAATATATATGTACTTATTATTTCTTGTCAATGATTTAGAATTTGTATATTCTGAGCGATTTGTCTCAATACCTTATCCGAATTAAGTGTAAATCTCATTCATGGACCTTACTTGAATTCCCTGGACAAGTTGAACTACCCAGTAACTTATTTAAAAGCTTGCCAAATCCTGAAGTTAGATCTGAAGTTTGTACTTTTTTTTTAAAAAAAATTGTTTTTATGAATTGCTCTTTATCAAACTAATTTAACCGTATTTTTTTATAGATTATGAAAAAGAACCATATCCCCAACGAATTTCTTAAATTATTAGATATGAAACTTGAATCTATCAATAGTAAAAGTAGTAAAAGTGAAAAGGTTATTTGAGCTTTATATCGTATCTAATCTTAAGCATTACTATACCATAAGATATATTTTTTATAACATTACAATTTATATTTTATAGTCAAAATTAAATAAAAGAGGGCCAAAGCCTTCGGGTCAAGCTTCTAATAAGAAACGTAAAGCTGATGATTATCGTGGAATTCCATCTACCTCAACACGAAAGTAAATATAACTTTTTTTTATAATTAGTTAATAAATGCGTATAAGAATTAAGTCGAAATTTTTTTTATTTATATATATATATATTTAGGACCGCACCAAGAGCTGCTAAATCTAATATAAAATCAATGGCGATTATATCAACGAGTAGTGAAGAAGAATTGGAGTCCAATGATACTTCTGAAGCAGAAAGTGATGTAGAATTGAACGACGATGGCGAATAAGATTAATAAGTTGTGTATTTTTATTGAACATAACATTTTAATAAAGAACGTTTCATCATATTCTTTGACATCGTCACCTTTAAAAACTGTCAGCTCTACGAAATACCATAATATCATGTAAACCCCTTATCAAATCCTTAATTTATATGTTAATGAATAAATAATAAAGTGAATATTTTTTTACTTTGTAATCTTCGAAACGTAAATTTGTTAATGAAACTTTATTTTCCCTAGTATGGAAACTGGCTCGAAAGCATAGTTATAATTCAGTAAAAGTTGAATCCCTCAGGTTAGTGAATTTTATGTTCAAGACTATGGTTGGAACATAAAAACATCCCAGTTCACTTACATATTTTCAGGTAAAAGTATCAAATAAAAATCATTATTTTTATTTAAAAAAAAAAAAAAAAAAAAAATAGATGCTTTTCAATAGTGAAATTTTTTGCGGGCTGTTAATTGGGCTCTCCTTTTTTTTGGTTTATAACAATCAATTCTGTATCATAAGTCAAAAAAATCGATAACATAATCAATAAAATTGGACCAAGGAAAAAGATCTATGGAATGATTATTCGATGAAAAGGCTGAATAAGTGTTACCTCCACAGTAAAAAAAACTTACAAATCCTAGAAGAAAAAGATAGAAGCGATTTAATGAGCAAAGGGAAAAGTTGAAGATCGAGATAACAAAAACAAAGAAGAACCAGATATTAATAGAATTATTATTTAAATTGATAGTAAGTAATAAAAAGAATACTCATGCAAGTCTGAAAAATTTTAACTTTATTATGTAAAGTTATTATTTTAATTTGTTTTCGTAAATAAATGTTAAGTAGTATGTCAGCTTTCCTCTTCATTTGACATATATTTTCTTGTAATGAGTCCCATTTTCATGCAAAATATCCCATGTTAAATATTAATTACCATGTATAGTAATTTTCAATTTTAATTTCAATTTATTTTTTTCAATTCCATTTTTAATGAACCTCTGATTTATTTATTCTGTATTAAATAAAGAAAAATATTTCTTCATTCAAATCAGATAATCGAATTAATTTCATTTCTATCAAATTCACCAACTCCATTATTTAGAGATTAGAAAATGAAAACATAAAGGCGCGTAATTTAAGTTAATTCAATTCCTAATGCTTTAAAGAAATTTAAATGAATAATCAGTTGACTTGGCTAATCAAATAAATTTCCTAATATTTAATGAACATTGCATAGAAATTTAATGAATTTTAAAAGGAAAAAAAGTCATTTTTTAAATCGATGAGATATTTATTACTAAATACACTTCAGTCTTTAGTGCCATGTTCTTAGGGATATAAATAAAGTAGGATAAACGTTAATTAAGCAAAATGGTTAATTAACCGTGAATTTCCCATCCCTAAGAACGAGTAAACTTTTTGTGGAAAAATATAATATTGCTCATGTTGACATGATCAAACAATGCGCGTATAACATATATAACGCGTATGACATTTTTTAATCTGCTCTTCAAAATCCATAAATTCTTTTAATAAGTTTCTTTTCTTATAAGCTACCAATCCAGAATTACCATTTTTTAAAAATTTTAAGGCATGGTTTGTTTTGTAACTTTTAATCATCTATCTCATTAACATATGGGTGGTATTCTATTAAAATTGAGGTACGAGACATAGTAAATTATATGATCCGTACCTCAATTTTAATAGAATACCACTCATATCTTTACCAATTATATGAAAAATATTAGATTATATGGGTGTGTTTCTAGCATAACAAGGTATGGATCATATGATTTACTATATCTTATAACTTGATTTTACTGGAAACGTTCCCATATAATAGTTGAATACAACAAAAAAAAAATGAAGCATTTATTAAAATTTGTAACAATATAAAAGAAAAAAAAATTGTCAAGAAAAACAAAATTTGTTATATAGAAGGTTTGCTAGGAAGAAAAAAGTTTGAAAATACATTTTTCTTAACAAATCCTTTATATTATAAATAATTTTAAGCAATCCAAATTACAAGGTTAAAGCTAATAATTATAAAAAAGAATAATTAATATTTTTGATATTATATCACATATTGGAATACTTATTATATAAATTAACTTCTTATTTATGAATAATAATTAATTGTTACTAGAACATTACTCTGGCATATTAATATAAAAAGATGTAAAACCTTATAATCAGGGTTAGAATTTTGTATATACTAGATAAAATTACTACTGTACTTGTATTAAATTTTATATTAATTATTATAATATACTAACTGTACTAATTGTACTAATCATTGTATTAATATTATACTTTTCAACTCTGCTTATAATATAAATATTAATAAGAAATAATATGAAAAGAATATATTATATAAAATATATTTTATAATACTTAATTATTTAATATAATCCAATTCTAACTTAATAATATTAATAATAAATTTCTAAAAATTTATTATAAAAATTATATTTATATGATATATTTTAATTATTATTTTATTTTACTTTACTTTTTTTAAAATACCTGATAATATATAGGAGCTTATCAATAAATAGAAAAGGAGAAATTTTAAAAAAAATGTTTTTATAAGTTAAAGTTAAATCTGGACTTATTTTACTAAAAAAATCATATTTAAAATATGAAATAAAATTTTTATTTTTTTTAGATTTCCTCCTTTTCTATTGACAAGCTTCTATATAATATTATATAATGTTTTATTAGTAATAATTAATTAAAATTATAATAATACAAACTAATGATAATATATATAATATTATTTTTATTATTATATGATTATAATAAATATCATTATCATAAATAAAGATATAATTAATTTAAAAATTTTAATTAATTTTAACTGGAATTACTAAAGATATTATCTTAAACTATTTTTAGATAATTGTAAATTTCAAAATATTTGAGATTAAACTATTTATTTATAATAAATATTTTTTATTTAAACTTTTAATAGGTTTTTTTAAACTCAATAAAATTTAATTAAATTTCAGATTTAAGAAAAATCATTTTAAAGTTTCAAAAAAATTTATAAATTTTTAAGCTACATGTTTCAAATAATATCATTAAATATTATAATTATTTATAAATTTTTATATTAACATAAATTTTACAAGAAATTGCAACTAATTGTAATTCTTTAATTATTACATTATCTTTAATCATAATTTAAAATATATATTAGGTTAACTATATATAAGAACTGCACTATTTATTATACTATATTATATTATTATGTTACAAATTATATAAATATTAAATATTTGAAAATCTTAAAGATAAAAAATATTTATATATAAAAAGCTTGTTAGAAAAATTAGATGTTGAGAATTTTTTAATAAATTTTGATTTTTATTGAATTTTAATTTTTGATGATATTAAATTAAAAATGCAAATTTTTATTCAAAAAATTCTTAGAACCTAATTTTTCTAGCAACTTATCATATGTTATATGAGCATTTTGCAGTAGAAAATATAAAAACTCTTATATATTAAAATTTAAAATAATTAAGTTTAAAGGTTTAATTGTATGTATGCAATAATTTATACTTAATATTTTTATTCTTAAAATCAATTTTTGTTTTAGATTATCATATATTAATATTAAACTATAAATAAAATCTGTACATTTCTTAGAAGTTTAGATTAATTGTTAATATTTATAGTTTTGCCAAATATAAAATCAACAAATTTGTCAATTTGATAAGCTTTTTATTGACAAATAAATAGCTTATATAAGTGCTTTATAATAAAAGATATGATACTCTAAAAAAATTAAAATTTTACTTTATAAGCTAAATACATGTATAATTATTTTAGTAAAATAAGTTAAAATTTAATATTATCTCAAAAAAAATATTTTTTAGAGTATCATACCTTTCTATTATAAAGCTTCTATATTATTAATATGATCCTTTGTCTTAAAAATAGATTTACTGATTTTTTTTATTAGTAAAGTTTCCATCTTTTTTATTGTAAAATATTTATTATATTAAAATTATCAATTTTTAAATACTAATCATTTACTTAATAAATGATTTTAATATAACATTTTTTTTAAATTTTATATCTTTTAATTTTTTACTATGCAATTCAGTGTGTAAATCTATGTACACAATATGCACATATACAAGACCCCAGAAAAGTCTTATATATGTAAGGTGTTAAGATGCTTAGTCAATATAGAGAAACTGTATGAGTAAGAATTTGTATTTGCTTAATTTTGACAAAAATTTTTGCTGATGTTAAACGATTGACATGCTTGATTTTAATCATTTGTGATACTAAGAGGGTTTTAATTGCTTAATTTTGCTCCATTTTTATCAGTATTATATTATTATGTGATTTTCCTTATATATATATCAAAAAATATTTTATGCAAGATTATCTTTTAGCTGTTTTCTTTGTTTTAATAAAGTATGCCATTTTGTAAATATAGTAAGAAAAGATTGTTAAAACACAAGTATTGTGCTCATATAATAAATGCAAAAAAGTAATAAGTAAATGTGGCAAAACAGTTAAGTTAAACTAACGCTATACTGAAGATTACCTTGACTGTTACGTTGTTAATTCTAGATGTAAAGTAAATGAGAGACAATGTAGTATTTTTAAACTTGCTAAAAAAATGAAGATAGTGATGAAGATAAAGACTGGAATTCTGACATTTATGATAATATAGATGAAGATGATTTATTACAAGTAGATGAACTGGAAGAAGAACAAGATGATAATATTCCTGCTTACCTTAATATTTATGATGAAGATTTGTCAAATACTTTAACAAAATCTGAGAAGCAGAAGTTAATATGTTATGGACTTCAATCTGAGCAAATATCTATATATATTTAACGTATTCCAGCTCAATTTGGAGGAACTTGTCATATTGAAATTGTAGCACAAGAATTGTTTTCTAAACTATTTTTAGCTAAATTTAGTCAGAAAAACTTAACTATTCTTAAAAAAAATAATTAAACTGTGCTTTATTTGCAGAAAATGT